ACATAGCGGAAGTAATGTCATACTTTACATTGACTATAGAGAATATGAGTTCTAGGAGTTGTAGATCTGCAGCAAAAATGAGTAGTTGTAAAAACGTGAAAACATATTTACAATTTAAATGGGTGGTTTCCCTGGTAAAATCTGTCCTCCTGGGAACAATGGATGCAGAGAAAAGGTTCCACAAAAGTACTTGTAGGAGAGTAGTTGTTACTAATGTAACTCTAGTTCTATGAGCAAGTTTGTGAAAGTGCAGACTTTTAACTTTAATTCAAGTAGTTTTACAAAAATGAAATATGCATGAACTGTTTAGGGAATCAAGGCCTTTATACATTAAAATTCCTGCAAATATTTTGTGTGTGAAAAATGTATTTGGACTCATATTCTTGATGCAGCCATTCACACGAACCACATAATTTATTTGCTTTTGCAGTATTCTTTGAGTCATCATATTATTTGCACTATGAGATGCTGTCTGATCAGTTGTGGAATGTTTGGCTGAATTTGAGCAGAACGTGTAGCCCTGACACTTTGCAGTTCATCCTGCAGCTTCTATCAGCGGTCACATCATCTATAAACACTAGTGACCTGCTTCCAGTGGGAGCACAGGCCCATACCATAACACTTCCTCTGCTATGTTTCAGAACACAAGTCTTTTACCAAACTTTTCTCTTCCCATCATTCTGGTACAAGTTCATCTTCATGTTATCTGTTCAAAGATTATTTATTTTCCTTTACAGGACTGTGCAGGCTCTTCTATATGTTTTCTGGTAAAGCCTAATTTGGCCTTATTCTTGAACTAACTAACTAACTAACTAACTACTGATTTGCACATGTTGTAAACTGTATTTATGTTTATGAAAGAGTCTCTTGATTGTAGACTTTGATTATTCATGCAAATATATCATGTATTTTGTATTTATAATGCAGCCGTTCACACCGATCGGCTAATTTTACAGGATAAATTTGTAGCATTTATTTTTTCAGGCTGACCAATCAGACCACAACTGTGCTCTGGGTCAATTGGCTCTCTGAAATAATTTTTCTGCCTCCTCAGATGTGGTCTTAACTCTGCCAACAAGAGTTCAAACTCCTCCTCTCACATCCTGAAATATGTATAAAAGCAACTGTGATAAAACTTCAACTCCTGGATCAAACTATGAAATTCTCCCTGCTGCGGTTTTCTCCTGACAGGCACATGAACTCATATTTTCCATTTTTTCTGTTTGTTGTTTAGAAACATCAGGACCAGCTTATCATCGCCTGATGTTGACTCCAAAAGCTGCTTTGAGAACCCTTTTGACTGGGTTTGCAGCATGTTTTAAAACATTATATTATTTGCGTTATAAAGCTTTTTCTAATCGGTTCTGCAGTATATTTCTGGATCTGAGCAGAGAGATTTTAAATTGGTTAGATTTTAAGGATTTCCTTCTTAACCATGGAAATAATTCTGTGATCATCCACTTTAGTTGTCTTCTGTGGTCTTTCAGGTCTTTTGGTATCACTCAGCTGCTCAACCAGACTGTTGATTTGCCAGCTGAAGGGTTTAATTTTGGTTGTTCAGCCTAATGACGGCCTCCTTTGTTTGTACTGCCATCTTTTTGGATTTGCTTACTGAGAGCTCCAGTAAGCAAATAACAAATACAAGATAATGGGCTTCACATGGCCATGCAACTGCCTCTCAATGAGTTACTGTTGAGACTGAAAATTGACTGTAATTCTTAAATAGTTATTGCGATTTTGTTATTTTAATCTGTTAAAGTGTTTTTTGTTCCACCCCTTGAATTATAAAAAACATAGAAAGAATTATCCAAAAACCAATCGACCTAACTGTGTGTAATGTGCACAAAAATAAAAACAGATTTGTACAAGACCAGCTGTGATGCAGCTTTAAGGGAGAGGTCTGCACTGCATGAGGCCTTCAAATGAGAAACTAATGAAGCACATTAGCAAAACAAACACATGAAAACACACACAATCGAAAAAAGAAAATGTGAATCACCACCACGTGCACAGGGGACAGCAGTGGCTTTAGTTTCATGTGCAAAGGATGGATGCAATTATATGTCACCAGCAGGTCTTTGGAAAAAATAAGTTTCTCTGAAACCACTATTGTTTACTAGTTACTCTTCTTGCCAGTTTCACAAAGCTTTGTGCAGAACCTGCTATATGCTGTATGCTTTTCTTCTTGTATAACCTACTACAGTTCAGTTTATCTCCATCTGTGTGAACCATCGTGCTGAACCTGTCAGTGTAAACACTGATCTAAAAAATGCTGCATACGTGGGGCTTCTTGGTCCCTGCTGAATCCTCAGACAGACCGAGGCTGTGCTGCTGCTGCTGCTGCTGCCAGGAGACCTGTTGTAAGAGACTGCAGAGGCTATAAATAGCTCAGCCCTGTCTTTCTCACAGGCACCACCCACTACATAACCCATGTGACACAACAGCAGCACAAAGCAAAACAGTTCAGCACCGCTGCACACTGAGCCACTGAGAGGGGAGTGGAACAACATGTACGGATGTAGGGCTCTTTAAAGAGAGAGAGCTGCTTTAATGACATCTCTTTGTCTGTAGAGACAGCATAACGTTTTTATGCATGCATTTTAACATTAGTGAATTTAGGCTAAGGTGTCCTCTAAGCTTTATTGCCATGGTAACAACTAATGCTAACAATAAAAAGTGAATATTTGTCATTTCAACAATAATGTTGAACAACCTTTAAGAGGACAGTTTAAAGGCTTTTGGAAAGTTCATTTATTAAATGTGCTTCACTTGTACATGACATGTTGTTTCTGTCTCAAAGTGGAGATGACCGAAGCGTGCACCAGACAGAAGGGTCACTTCTTTTTGTATAGACACGTTTTAAGATATTCAGAAACATGTTTTGCACGTCTGACGAACGTCTTTGTGCGCACTGCCCTTTGATCTGCTGTTCTGCCCTGATTGTATTCACCGTATTTTTGATTGATCCTCAGATGTCACGTTTCGCTATGATTAGCTGTGTGCCGCTCTACAGATCCTCAGCCTGTTGCTGTTGTTGTTGTTGCTGCTCAACACTCTCAGCTTACAGGATTTACTGACCTACAAAAGGGTTACTGCTGTTTTGGGCCTGCAGGTTTACAGTCCCTGCTGACTGTAAACAGAGCACACCTGTGGCCTGTCTGCACCTGACTGCAGCTGTGACCGTCACAGAGAGGGGATGCATTTCTGTAGCACACCTGCACACTTTGAAATTAAATAAATGTTTGAATCACCCTCAGCAGACACTTTATTAGATACACCTTGGTAGTAATAGAGACGTTTTTTGCCTTAATTCTTTGTGGCAAAAATTCAGCGAGGTGCTGGAAACAGTCCTCAGAGGTTTTGGTTCATGTTGACATGATAGCATAAAAGAGTTGCTGCAAATCCATCATGTCAATCTCCCGTTCCATCACATCCCAAAAGGGTCTCTCTTGGATTGAGATCTGGTGACTGTGGAGGTTTATTTGAGTACAGTAAACTCACTCATCATCATCTGACCAGTGTTACATGGTGCATTATTATGCAAGAAGCAGCCATAAGAAGATGGTTGGACTGCGGCCATGAAGGAATTGACACGAGCAGCAACAGTACTCATGTAGGGTGTGATGTTTAAATGATGCTCAGTTGGTACTAAGGAGTCCCAAGTGTGCAAAGAAAATATCCTGACACCATTACACAACCAACCTGATCTGTTGGCACAATCCATGCTTTCAGGTCCTTTACACCAAACTGACCCTACCGTCCAAATGTTGCAGCAGAAATTCTGATCAGAACAATGTTTTTCCAATCTTCAGTTGTGCAGTTATGGTGAGCTGAATTGTGTCCTCACCTTAGCCGACAGGATTGTGGTCTTCTGCTGCTGTGGCTCATTTGCTTTATGAAACATGTTGCATGTTCAGAAATGCTCTTCTGAATACCTTGGTTGTTATTCAAGCTGCTGTTGGCTTCCAATCAGCTTGACAATCTTCCTCTGACACCAAAAGGATATTTTTACACAGTGAACTGCCGCTTACTGGATATTTGGTTGGAAAAGGAGACCTTTAGGTCTCTATAAACAATAGAGATGGGTGTGTGGGAAAATCCCAGCAGATCAGCAGCTTCTGAAAGACCCAGACTTTAACTATAGTGTTGTGATTAAAAGATGCAAGCAGGGTTTATAACGCAGACATTACCAGCAGAGTTAATGATTATCTGCTGCTGTGAGGTGGTATTGTTTGTATTTTGTTTCTTCCTCAGTGGCAATCAGCTGTACTGTAGTTAGGAGCATTTAAGGCTCTTATGAGCAGACACGTTTGATCCTGGAGCAGCCCAGATTGGGGATTTATGTAATCTCAGCACAGTGGTTTTAGATTACACCGATTCATTTACTCACAAGTCCCGCAGCGCCTCCAACCATATCTCAGTGCGGTGGGGGAGGGTGTGGCTCAGGCTGATTCATTAGCAGTTTTTCCTCTTTTGTCTTTCATTGGCCAGAAAATCTAGGCAAAGGTGAGTGCCAACAAAGCACTTTAAAAAATACTCGAGTCAATCCTTTTACTGGAAAACAGTCCAACCCAACCCCTGCTCCTGAAAAAGAAAAATCAATTAGCTGCATTAGGATTTCAAATCTGATCCAACGCACATGAAGGGGTTATTGCTTCTGTAAAAGATGGTTATTGAGCCTACACCCGCTGCACCCTCCCACCACTGCGCTCTCATGCACATAAGGATGCCATTGTTTGCACTTGTCTGCACGTCATCTCCACCAGCTATTCACTTATTTCTTGGAAATCCTCAAAATCTGCCCAGCGACCACCGCGTTATCAGGTAAAAGGATTAACGGAGCAAAGACTAAAGTAATTTATCAATCAGTGACTGTTGTGCAACGTTGACGTCTTCCAAGAATACTAACATTTCTCAAAACTGTGCTCTTTACAGGCTTTGGTTTGTTCCCCAGAACTAAGATCCAACGAGGGAAAGAAGGAGACGCAGTCACGCCATGGTCTGTATTAATGAGCTGAAATATTTATTTTTAAAAACTGAAAAAATAAAAACAAACCCACCAACATAGTTTTAGTATATTATACAAAGACATATTTCAATGTTGCTATGTGAGTATCTGTTTCTCTCTGACTACAGTGTGAGGCAGTTTGAAAGGCTGGCTGAGCTGGTAGGACTAAACAGACATGAACCAGAGAGAGAGCCAAAGAGGGAGAGAGAGGTTAATAAAAAGGTAATTTGGGCAAAATAAAATAAAATAAAACCCAAAATATCACTCGAGGTGCAATCCAGTCTTTCAAGACACTTGGAAAAAAAAAATCCATACAAAGAAAATGCTCCTTTCTTTTATGGAGGTTTTCTTCTACTGAAGTCAGCTACCAGATGTGTTGTCCAGATGTGGAAGAAGTGACAGACTACAGCTAAAAATCATTTAGTACAAAAAGAAGACCTGGACTCAATAGCACTGCAGATAATACTTCTTATTATTATTGGCAAATACTATTCGACCAGCAGCTGTTAAATTACCCAGTGTCACAACCTTTTAGAGATATGCAGCTGAAGCGGAGCGTCCAAAACTAAAGTACGTTAAGACACAGAGAGACAAACCCCCACCACCACCAACCGCGGGTCATCGAATAGAAAGAAGGTAAGTAACGTGTTGAGGGTTGAAAATAAACGCCTGCTCGTCTCAGGTTTCAGAGTCCAGAGCCAAACGGCAGCTCGTCGGGTTCAGCAGGAAGTTAGGAAACTAACTGTTTTGTTTAAGTTAAACCGAATCCTTAAAAGCAAGCAAAATATTATTTCCAACAACAGGAGGCTTGTAGTTTATGTCCACAGCTACTTGGTCTTTAGGAAGCTATTGAAAAAACACTGCAGTTTGCTTTCGTCCCAGACCCCGTGATCCCTCTGTCACTCAGAGAAGGAATTCAGGGAAAATAACGGCAGTCGGTCCCCCGCTGTGCGTGGCGAGAGGCTGGGTCACGTGATCAAACCGGGCCGATCTAAAGGTTTGTGCAGCGGGAATGGCCTCGAGTCCTCGTTTAAGTCTGACTTCAAGAAAGGTCAAAGTTCTCATGGATATTTCTTCTCCTGCTGATTTATTGGGCTAAGCTTGTGACGAGACAGCAGAGGAGGGTCTCTGTCTTTACTGAACCGAGGAGCAAAACTTGTGTTTTGATGAAGAGAAAAAGACATCAGAACGAGCTCTATATTAAAAAAAATAATGATAATAAAGAGGGCTGCCTCTCGCTACCCTGTTCCCCAGTTTAACCAGTATAAGAAGGAAAATCTGAAAAATCAGACCCATGTTATTAGTGTTTTCAGCAAACCTGCTCATCTAAACCTTCCCCTGATGCACGGCTACCTCCAATGATGTAGCATGAGGTAGTTCACAGGGACCGTGTGTGTGTGTGCGCTACTTTGCAACCCAACCCTCCTGCACATGGACCGTTCTATTTGAGCGCTTATTCAAATAAAGACCAAAAATCAGGGGTGTGTCTGTGTGTGTGGGAGGGGTCGGTGTTTAAGTTAACAGTCATGGTCGTTACAATGGTGAGGAGGTGAAAGGCAGAAAGTCCAGCGAAGCGGACTCAATAAGGTGAGAACTCACAGTGAGAAAAAAAGAAGCGTCTCGGGCTCCCGCTGTTTCACGCGCAGGACAAAAACATCTGTTTTTAAATGGGAGAGCACGCCGTCTATGTTACGGAGACACGAATGTGGGCTGGGTGGACTCATCTCCCCCCTCCGTCCTGCTCCTCAGAGTTCGGCCTTTGTGCGGTGCGTCCCGGGATGACGAGTAGAACTTGTGCAGCGAGGAGGGAAACGACAATAAGAGACCTCGCCGCTGAGTTTTCCCAACACAGTCCAGGAGGAGGAGCGGGGGGGGAAGGCCGCGAAGCCGGGCTGTGGGTCGTCTTTCACACCGTTCCTCGTGTGCACGTGTTCGTCCCTCCGATACCACTAACACCCCCACCCATCCTCCGCTGTTGCTGAGCCCTTGGTGCTGTCCTTTATGGAAGCTTCGGGACATGGGTGGAGAAGCGGGTTTAGAAAAGAAGCACCTTTTCATTTGGCTTGGATAACAGACAAACAAATAATAATTAAAAAAATAACAAGGGAGAAGAAAGGCTGAAAAGTGTGTCTATAAATAGAAAGAGGCAGACAGAAGCCGGTCTTCTGGGTTGAGGAGGAGTGGGGTGACGACACCGGTGGCGGGGATCAGCCTGTGCCTGTGGAGGACGAGGAGGAGACAGATTTTAAGTGTTTTTGTTGCTACGGTTTTTGTTAAACCGTGCATAAATTGTAACGCGGGTGCCCACCCTCTTCATCCTCGCCCCAGCCTTCTGCTACGCCGGCCAGTTCGTAATGCTTCTTCCTCAGCTCGCCGAGACGCTCTCGCTCCTTCTGCAGACGGGTCTCCAGCTCCAGAACCAGGACCTGTGGAGACGCCGACACGTTCACAGGACTGTTAATCACTTTCCCCTCTCAAATCCTGGAAAACTAAAAACTATAAACAGATCGGCTCGAAGCTGAACAAACAAGGGAGAAGACGACCTTTCATCGAGCAACAGCCGATGATTTATTACATTTAAAACTGTACGTAACGCAGCCACAGCTGCCAGCGTGGATTTATGGGTGTCACGGCGTGATACAGATACAGCTGTTTAACTTTTCTCAAACACGGAAAATCCAACTGTCATCCAGGCTGAATTATGTCAGGCTCGTGTGTTTGTGTGTGAGTGAGAGAAAACCTTCTAAACAACCAGATGAAAGCTGTTGTTTAAACAGGTCTGACTTAAACTAAAACACACATCTTAAAATAGGAGCCCTGTGTGCGTTTCCAACAATGAGCTGTGTGTGTGAGAGAAGGTTCAGAGCTTCCCGTGTTTTTCTTTCAGTGTGGGTGAAGCAAAGCCACAACACAGACTCAAGTGTTCACATGAACCTTGGCTTCACTCACGATGAAAAATGAACCTTCAGAGTCTCGGATCGGCACGCTCGTTAAAAATAAGACTTTGTGATTATTTTGGGGCCAAAAGGGAGAGACTATTTTTACTCCACGTCCAATGAAAGGCACCTTGTGAAAAGCTTCTCGGATGAAGTTACGGTCACCTCCTGATTTAATTAAGACTCGCAGCTCAACCGTCGGCTGCTCGCTCACCTGTGCATCCATCTCCTGTCGCTTGATCTGGGTGAGAGTCATGCTGGAGAAGTCCATAGTGTCTAGAAAAGACCGGCATAAATATTTTGTGGTTGTTTGGTTTTTTTTCCTTTCTTTTTTAAGGTAGCAGGAAATAGGAAACTAAAACTCACCTGTCTCTTCAATCTGGGACTTCCCAGACTTAGTGGAGGCCACGACGGCCGCGGTGGCCTGTGTGACGCCGCGGGACGCCTGCTGCAGGCGGTGCAGCTTGGTGCTGTCTTTGTCTGCTTTTACCTGCAGAAGGAGAGCAGCAATAATGCGAGAGACGTGAAATCTTTAACATCTTTCCCTGGAGTTTACTGCTAAAGTAACGTTTTCAGCTTTCTCAAAAAAGCTCAACTTCTTTGCTCACCTTGGAAGCAGCCACGAGCTGTGCTGTGCTGGCAGCAATTTCATGTGAGCACACCATCAGCTCCTCAAACTTCCCTTTGCCCTGAACCACCAGGTCAGCAGCATCCCTGCAACAACAACACAGTGCAAAACAAACTCAAGGGAAGCTCTGATTTTAATTTAAAGCTAGAAAGGAAGTGGAAACAGAGTTTTTATACACTGGAGATTTTTATAGTGTTAACGCGGCTAGCATCTTAAACCAAAGCACACATAGAAACAACAAAAACGACTCCTTAAAACATAAACTATACCCCACATCAGGGTAAGCGTTTATAGCATAACATTTACATAACATTAGATAACAGCCATCATTACTACAGGACATGAACAAAACTGTTAAGTTTGTCTGTGGTTGAAATTCAAAGGTTTTTTTAAATATAGTTTTACTGGTTTCTTGTATTTGGCAATTCCACTTGTTGAAAATACAGCACTTTAAGCAGAGAGCGCAGCTCATCCTGGGGAACACTGACTCAGCTAACAGAGTCTGTACCAACGCCACATCTAGGAGGTTGCTTGGATGCCTGAACAATTTCACTTTGCTCCTTTTCTGCTTTGAACGACTGCCCGACCTAATCCCATCTCTAAGTGTGCGCCCAGGAACGCTTCAGAGGAAGCAGTCTGCATCTGCGATGTCATCTTCCCTGTCACTAGCCAGAGCTCCTGGGCATCACGCTCAGAAGAAACTAAAACTTTGTAAATGACCTCACAAGCCTTAAAGTGTTCGCTTTATCAATCTTCTTCTAAAAAAAGTTTCCTCTTTGCTCATCATCATCATCATCATCAACAACTTTCCCACTCAGCACTCAGCCTTCAAGCACTTTAATACTTTGCTGTGAGAAAGACTCACAGAGGAGAGGAAGGCTACTTACACCATGACTGTAGCGCCCCATCCCACCGCTTTGGAGGCAGAGATCAGGCCCTCGGTCCAGCGTGAGTTCTTGGCATAAAATTCCTTCATGGAGGCTGCCCCCTGGTGGACAAACACCAAACATGTTTAAATTAGATGTTAGATATTGGATTTATTTAAACTATGCTAAAATACCAGTAACATAAAGCTGCAGTGTGACTCACCCTTCCACTCTCCACGATGTCTCTTTGCAGATCTTTGGAAGACAAAATAAGCTCCTTGATGGCCTGCATGAGCTCTGTGCAGGAGGCCAAGATCCTGCAGAGGGCGACAGAGCAGAAGACAATCACTGCCTGCAGCTCTCCAGCTCAAGCAAGCCTGATGTAGCTCAGAAGCTGTGACTGCAGATATCTTGAACGCAGCTTGTAGCGATAGCTAATGCACGACTGATGCACCACTGACCCAAATCCTCAGTGCAGTTTGTGTGTTTTGTTTTGGTTACAGCTGTAGTGGCTGTTTGTTCCTCTGCATGATCATCTCCCACAGCAGCTACAGATTAAACACTTTTTTCCTTTTTTACATGAATAATTAAGTCACCCTGAGAGTTAAGAGAAAGTTTAATTAGCTTAATTTGCACACAGAGTTAATACACAGCCTGGATGAATACCAGAGAAACCTAATCAACCCGATCTTTTTTTTATTGTGGGTCCGACAAACGGCCGACGTTTATTTAATGAGGCTGAAAAGACAGAATACTGCATTGAAGACAAGTGGCAGGCTGGCTTCAAATGTCAAGCTTTGTCCTGGTTTTGTGGTTGAATTTATGAAACTCTTCACACATCAGCACTCAGCAGGTGACTATCCGACATCTCGCGGTTGATGAAAACCATCTCCCTTTCCTTTCCTCAGATTGCACACATCAGAATACAAACAGATACCTGCAGGCTTGTGTCTGTGTTATTTATTCAAAATGAGATGGAGGAGTTCGCCGCTCTCTTAGGAACACTCGCCTCTGCCAAGGAGGCAAAACGCCACCAGAAAACACAACATTTGCACATTTTTGGTAATGTTTGTATGCGTGTGTGTCATTCTGAAACTTTGTAGTGGTGTAGAGTGAGGTCATGTTAACAATCCATTAAAATTTAGCTCACATCTTCAGAGTTCACTTAAATATTTATTGGTGGAAAATTAACAAAAAGCCTCCAACTTAGAAACTATGATTCTTACAAGTGTGGGGTGTATCGTCAACATATTGTGTCACATTTGACCTCTGACCTCTCCATCAAAATGTGTTATATCTATAAAGAAAGTATTTTCAGGAAATATACTGTAGTATCATGTTATATAGTGACTTCTAGTTATTTACAGCACTATTCCCTTGAAGGTAAACACTGCTTTGGTGAAGGTTTGTGGAGAGCTTCTTGTTGTTGAAGAAGATGCTGAGTTAGTTTTTGGAGATGACTCAACTTCTTCTAAAGTTCAAAAGCATTTTGCTGCTGTGCAGGAAAGAGAAACCAAAACAAAACCACCGGAAGTTAAAAAGCTTGAGGTTGAAGTTTGTTTCTAATTAGAGGTAAAATGTGGTGTTGTTGTCTGTGCTATGTTTGGCAGGTCTATATCAGAGCTTCAGTGCACTGTGTGACTGCTTGCTTTAGGAGGAGGCTGCTGCCTGGTTAGAGCGAGGACATTACATGACTGAACTCATTTAAAGGTCGCTGAATGTCCGCTCGTCCGAGTTTTACGCTGTTGCATGAGTGTAGAAAGGCTCACGGTTGCAGCTGCTTTAAAAGCCAGACAGTCCGTTATCTTTGGAAACCCACATTTAACTAAAAATGATGTTATAGGAAAAAGATAATCTGCTCAGCTTCCGTGCGGTGCCCCCCTTCCAAAAAAAACAAGTCCTAATCTGAGCATTACCTCTCGTTGACCTCCATCTTGATTCCTGTATCAACTGCTCGAGAATTGTTGAGCATTTCCTGTTGGAGCGCACAGAGGAGCATAAGGGGGGGAGAAGAGTGAGAGGTTAATACTGCTGCAAAGTCAAACAGGGGACAATGTTTTCACACTGGACACTCGCACAAACACCTGGTGCCTGATGACCAAAGTTAAACACCCCTCCCAAACACACTTATGCACCTCTATCCTGGCAGCGGCTGATTCCACAGCGGCAGAAGTGGCAGCCATTTCCTGCTCCACGAGGTCTCCCAGCTCCCCCTGCTGCAGCTCCAAACCCCGAGGACGCAATTTCTGAAACAGCGGAAAGTCAAGTATTCACATTAAGGGAGAAATTAGCCATCGTATCACAAAGCAGCTGCGGAGACAGAGCGACTCTTTATCTCTACCCACCTCTGCCGTGGCCAGGACGGCCTCCAGAGCTGCCTTCAGCTTGCCGCTGTCCGCTGCAGCGAGGCCGTCCTGCTGCTTCATCAGTCCCAGCAGAGCCAAAGCTTCAGCCCCGCACACCTTCACACTCTCTGACAGGGCTGACACACAAAAAGGGGCAGGAAGGATGCAGGTGTTATAAATCCACAAACACACACACACTAAGTGTTTGAGCTACCAGATTTATACTCTGTGAACTCTGGGATGTGACGGTGCCACAAGCAGCTGAAGCTGGAGTCTTAATTAAACCGATATCTCCTCAGGCGTGTCAACCGCTGCAGACGAACACTCTGACAGGAGGAAGCCAAAATATAACTTTGCAGCACCTGACAGCCAGATGATTTGCTCTAAACTGTAAACAGGCTCCACAGGCAATGTATGGAAGCACACACACCGAGTCAAAGCTAAGTGCTCCTCATTGATCCTTAGCCTCTGCAGCCTGTGGTTTTGACCCAGTGTTTAGGTTTTGTTTTTTTCTATTGTTGCAGTAAAATAAGTGCTGGCCAGAACTCCATTATATTTGGGCATGTTTAGACTTGCCATCTCCCCGAGGGCGAAACATTACATCTGCATGAAGTCAGCACTTGTTCTATTCTGGCCTGTTTTGGCTCACATTCTGTATTTAAAACACGACTAAAGAACTATTTGCGACTGCAATGTGAGTGTCCCGCCACACGATATACAGACATACACTTAATGGTCACTTTATTAGGTACAGCTGTTCAAAAGCGCAAGTTAACGCATATCTAAATCATCAATGGACTTATGTGTGCAGACATGGTCAACATGAAGAACTGGGTAAAGAAGTAAGCTGCGGCTAACCAGAGGGTTTAAAAAAAAAACACAACCAGTGTTTACATACCATATCTGCTTCTGCCGTGGCCTGGTGGACAAGAATTGGTTAAGGGTTCCCCGAGCTTTCACGCCCCTCATGTTCTTCATGTGCCCACCATTAGAAGCATGCCTATGGAAAAAGTGCGCCGGCACACAGTGCAGTGCGCTTTAAAGGTGTTATCGTGCAACTTTTCCAGCCAGGTGTTTTCCTTTCCCATTCCTCCCTGTACTTTTGCAGCCTTTCCCTCTTTCTCTGAGGGGAACAAACATTGCTGCTCTAATGCTGGGCTTACACTGTGCGATTTTTGGCCCATTTTAAGACGATTTTTGAGTCGTGCGACCGATTTGGTGCTCGGACCGATTTTGGCCTTCATCGTGCGTCGTGTAGTATACGTGGGGTAACGAGAAGCGATTAACGCCTCACGACCAGCTCCCGATCATCAATCGCTCGTGACGTAGCCGTCGGTGAAAAAGACGGAGCAGCACGGCTGTGCAGCGTGTGATCTGGACACAAGCGATGGAGGCACAACTTGTAGAACTTTGGAAAGCTCATCCGAGCCTTTTCGATGTGGCCTCACAAAATTATCACGACCACAACAACCGTGAAAATAGTTGGATTTACATTGCTGCTCAATCACAGCTGCCTGATCATGTTTTTCATTAGCAATTTAGCAAAGTTGATGGTGGTGGTGTGTCTGTGTGAGTGAAAGACAGAGAGGGAGAGCGACAGATTTTCTGTTATAACCTTCATGTTATGGACGCACAGTGTGAGCACTCAGGTCGCATCAGAGCATCGGGCGGTATAGTGTGAGACCTGCATCGTGACCTACCAACTTCTAACCCCTGCGAGTCAATCGTGCAGTTTGAGCAGGAGCTGAATAACGCGACTGAAAAAATCGCACAGAGATGAGCGGTAATCTGAATTGTCATACTCGACTTGTCATAAGTGTGCTGTCAGCTCATTGGTCACAAAGCAGGAGAGGGGCTGGGAATTATGTTTTCAAACAAAGTGTTAATTCCATTAACATTTATAGACTACTTTTGATTCTCACTGTATTACGGGACAAAGTGCGTCCCTTATTAGCTCAATACGGGACGTTATTCGTATTTTAAGGGACGGTTGGCAACCCTAAATGATGTACCATGTTCTCGGAGATTTCTGAACAAATTAAAACGTACAGCTCTGCTACCACTTCTAACATAAATGAAGGCCGAAAACTAAACAGCAATGACTTCTGTAGGGTTACTGAAGTTGGGCTAGCTGGTATATAATGATGTGCTACGTGATCGCTAGCGACACAGCTATGTTAGCATAAGATTAGCACAGTGGAACCAGAGGATGAACGCTAACTTTTCCCCTCTCGATAGAAGTTGGAGCAGCTGCGAGAGAATTCAACATTAATGAATCAATGGTACGGAAAAGAGGAAGCAAGAATATTGAGTAAAGTTTGACTTATCTGACTGTTTTGTTTCGCTTAATGCGCCTTATGTATGAAAACAGGCCCGTTATCGACAGACAAAAATACGGTATGCGGCACTGAGTGTCCTGCACTTAAACATTCATTTAATATCACGTACACATATACACATACCCTCAAGAAGACACTGAGAAAAAAATAAAGAATAACATTGAGACTGTAACTTTGCCATAAGTCATTGTTGATTTTGTGTCTTCACTCTCCATCCCCTGCCAAGCTGCACCTGCGATTCTGCGGCTGCTCGCGGATGAACTGACAGATAAGTAAATCTTTTCTTGGATCTTATCCTCTGCATCCTTACCCTATCACCTCTGCCTGCCACAGGGCGCTAGCCTGCCCTGTTGAAACACTATTTTTTTTCCCCAGTGTTTCAACTGAAAAAATAGAATGCCATTGATCCCTTGTGATGTCATCTTGCTGAGAGAAAAAACCCTTAAGTAAGAGGAGCTTTGCCCTGTTAAACTTTGCTGCTCAACGGACCTTGACCTGACAGTAAGCAAACCCTTTTGGAGAGTTTTGAGAGAATTTCGCGTCACTTAGCAATTCACTGACCAAGCTGACACATTTCACCATGTCAGCTAACCCATCCTTCCGCTCAAATGAGCTTGGAATAGTTAAAGGGAGCATTTTGGGAAACCACTACAAGGTAGAGGCTTTCCTCGGAGAAGGGGGCTTTGGTATTGTAGCCAAATGTCGTGATACCACGACCAACCGAGCTGTGGCTATTAAAGTAAACAAGAGCCGCCCTGATATTCTGCAACAGGCAAAACTGGAAATTTTCACCCTGGAGCAGCTGAGAAGGTTGGATCCAGATGCCGCCAACATTGTTCAATGGAACGGCTTTTTCCACGACGGAGAGTGGGTTTGCTTAAAGTTCGAACTCCTAGAGCAATGCCTGTGGAACTACATAGGGGACCCGAATAACCGGCGTCTCCCCATAAGCGAAGTCAGGCCAATTTTAGGTCAACTCACAAATGCTCTGTCCCACCTGGGTTCTTTGGGAATAGTGCACGCTGACCTCAAACCTGGAAACATCATGGTTGTAAATCGCTATGAGTCTCCAGTCAAAGTCAGACTTATAGACTTTGGCCTCGCATGTCCTGCGTCTGCAGTGATGCCTGGTGACCGTGTGGGGACGGTTGGTTATAGTGCACCTGAGGTTATGCTTGGCCTTCCTTATAACGAAGCATGTGACATGTGGTCTCTGGGGCTGGTGGCTGTGGAGCTTGGTACAGGCGTGCCACTCTACCCTGGAAAAAAATATTATGATGTTTTCAAATTCATCATAGAGACTCAGGGTCAGCCACCAGATCATGTTCTCGATCCTGGCGTGTACACTGAAGACTATTTCACAAAAGACAACTACAACTACAACCAACAGCGCTGGACATTTAAGACCACCCAACAATTTAAATATGAGACAGGATATGAATCTTTGGAGACAAGATACATAAAACTTAAACGTCTGGATGACCTCGAACAAATAATGACGTTTAGACGAGGACCCGAAGATGGCCAACGCTTCTTTGTCAGCCTAATTAAAGAGATGTTGGCCTTGGATGCACACCAGCGGATAACACCCTCTCAGGTTCTACGGCATCCCTTTTTCAGCCCTGGCCTCTCCAACAGGTTCCCAAGTATCAACATTGAAAGATCATACAGAGTCAATCTCCAGCGTGGCATCTTCCACCCTGGACCAAAGTGATAAAAACACAAACTGGGGTTGGAAAAGGATATTAACAGCAAATTACACTGGAAATATTAGTTAAGCTGCTCCAATAATTATCACTTTGGCTTTTTTTTTTTTTAATTTTCACTCCCCCCACCCCAACCAGTCGTGGCAGAGGGCTGTCCCTTCCTGAGCCTGGTTCTGTCGAAGGTTTCTTCCTTTTTAAAGGGAGTTTTTCCTTCCCACTGTCGCTAAATGCTTGCTCATAGGGAATCTTCTGATTGCTGGGGTGGCCAAAACTCTAGGGGAACTAGCAATTCCTGTGAAAAAAAAAGCCTACCAATATTCAAAGCAGAGCAGCGGACACCTTACCATCACATCAGTCCTTTAATCCAACCTAAAACACCATGTTTACAGAAATAAATTCCATACAAATTGGAAATAAATTGTTGTTTTTGATTGTTTATAAATATATAGTGCTACCCTTCAGCCTCCTAGTAGACATACCTGTGTTATAAATGTGAAACTCCTCCGATTTTCAGAAAAGTTGACCTCTGACCTTGAAGTCAAGGTCACTGAGATTTAAGCTTCACAGAAATTTTCAGTAGATGCAACCATGGTATTGATTTGAAAAATCTACACAGTCACAAACTTGGATGTCCACAACACCTCGCCCTATACCAAAGATTAAGAGGTGTTTTTTTCTAGGTTTTTATAAAGATTACAAAACACAAATAACAAAAATGTCAACGCTATTTTGATGTTGTCTAATGTAGTGCAAAAAAACAAAACAAACCCAAAAACGAATAAATAAAATAAATATATATTACATACATATATATATGTATATACTACATACTATAAAACATTTTAGTGGTCCACAATGGGGTCAATGAACAGAATGAAGGAAGTGAGTCATTTTTATATGACAATGGTGTGAAAAATCATTTTTTTGTATTTGTTTGTCACACTTAAACATTTCAGATCATCAAACAATTAATTTTTTTTAATGTATAAAGAAAAATCCTTTAACTGTCCAGTTTTCTTGATGTTATGATGCTTCTACCACTGGTTTGTCATTAATAAATCAGACTTTGATTGCTGCAGCAGAAAAAAGACGAATAGAAAATGGTGCAGATTTACACTTTACCTGAAACAGAGCAAAAGTGCTCTTTACATATGAATATTAACTAATATAGGCTAGATATCTGGACATTACTAGCTTCATTTGGGCCTTCTGAGCCATTAGTCCTCTGGCTTATTGGAATCTTGACTGTCTCCAGTTAGTCCAGAATGCTGCTGCAAGGTTTTTAACTAAGACACGAAAAAGAGAGCACGTTACACCAGTTTTATGTTCATTACACTGGTTTCCAGTACATTTCAGAATTCATTTTAAAATCTTGGTACTGACTTTTAAAGCTTTGAATTGTGATACCCCTGTCTACATTTCTGATCTTTTAGAACCCCACGCTCCCTCTCGCAGCCTGAGATCATCTAATCAAAGGCTGTTGGTAGTTCCACAAACACGTTTTAAGACCAGAGGAGATTTTTTTTAGAGCAGTGGCCCCCAGGTTGTGGAATGCTCTCCCTCCATCATTACGTTGCCTTGATTGTATTTATTCTTTTAAAAAGCAGCTTAAGGCTCATTTATTTAGATTGGCTTTTAATTAGATTTGATGATGATTTCACATCACTAAGCAGACAGTGACTTCACTGTACTCAGATGACCTCTACAGTCACCAGACCTCCATCCAATACAGCACCTTTGGGATGTGGTGGAAGGAGAGATTCACAAATCTGCAGCAGCTGTATGATGCTGTCATGTCAAATCTCTGTAGGTTGTTTCCTGCACCTTATTTAATGCATGCCATGAGGAATTAAGGCTGTTTTGAAGCAAAAAACAGGTCCAACCCAGTATTAGCAAGGTGTACCTAATAAAGTGACCAGTGAGTGTAAGGATCAGAACAGTTCAGATAAGTAAGGAAATGAAAATCTCCATAAACTGAAATCATCTCTCTGTACCTCTCACAGAGAACAATCTTACCGTCAGCCTGCTCCACAGGCACCATGTGGGAGGTGGCACTACCCTGAACTATGGTGTCGCCCACCAGGTGGCCAGACTGGGTCACTGCACGCACCAGCTCAGACACACCTGCACAAAACAGCAGAAAAAAGAAAGTAAAAATTATCACAAATATTCATCAGCTTTATTTAACAGCATTAACACAGCGTGATTTTAAAAAGATAACAAATTACAAACAAATAACTAATTTTATTCTTTCACATTCTGTTTCGTCTCACCCGTGTTGTCAGCCAGGAAGGCCACTCTGGTAGAATTTAATCTCTCCATACACTCTAAGGAGGCTTGACACCTGGATGCAAGGTAGTCTGCAGAGATGGAGCGACACACTTGATAAGAGCATGCACACGAACACGCTGCTACACAATGAGCTGACGTTCACAGTTGCACTGCACAGAATCCACACGTCAGATTCTGACCTGCCGAGCTGGTGCAGCTGATGTGCGTCGGGTCGTCTATCTGAGCCAGACTGTCCTGGATGATCTTCTCCGCCTCCTCCACGGCGCCCTGCAGGCTGGCCCAACGAGCCGCTGCCAGCTGGCTCTCTAACGCCTGCTCCCTGCTCTCCTGTGGACAAACGCACACGGTCAAACTTACAAACATCGCAATCTGCACACTCAGAGCCGCTCACGTCTCACACGTGCTCGATTTAAAGTGACTAAAATTAAGAAGTTTACAAGGGGAGATGTTTGAATTCATCACCTTCTCATTGAGTTGGTTCTGCAGGGTTTCAGCACTCTTCACCCTGCTCTCTCTTTCCGTCACCAGCGAGCTTTGGACCCGCTCTAGCTCCTCCCCCCGGGCCGCAAGCTGCGCCTCCACCTTCGACAACGACTGGACCAGCTCGGCTTTCTCCGACTCCAACGCTGCCAGCTGAGTGCCGAGCACCTCGCTCGACTGTGTCGAGGAAATAAAACATGGAGGGATTACGAAACAAAAACAATGAAGTGAGAAGAACAACACAAGGAAGCGATTTGGATGGTCAGGATAATTCACAGCTGTCGGGATCAGGAAGAGCTCTGACCTCACTATAAAAACCCAAACACAGACAAAAAAAACCCCACTTCATCTTTAACCACAATAACCATGTTGTCTCAGACTCCAGAGCTTTGGGGTTGACCTTTAAATAAAGGAACTCTGGGAATTTGTGGTTTTGTAATGTAGCTACATCCTCCTGTCTTTGGAGGAGAGCAGTGGAAATTGAGCCGAGTGCCTGCCCTTTTATTTGCAGGTAGATAGTGAAGTGTAAAAGCAGGAAAAGGTGAAAGACTTACAGCCTGGGTGCCGGCAGGTCCGACAGACAGAGGAGGAAATGAAGAAGAAACAGAACTGTTAGGCTTTTTAAAGCTGCGGTGTGAGAGCTGCTCATCGGGGAGAAGGAAAAATAAAGTGACAAGAGCGATAAAATGTGGGCTATGGGAGCGAAAAGAACTGGAGAGAGACGGAGGAGGACAGAAAGAGTGATGGAGTTGATAAGTGGATGCTGCAAAGAATAGGAAGTCAGGAGTGGGAGGCTGAGAGACGGATGAAAGGCACAGGGAACAGAGCATGTGCAGAGAAACGGTACAGTCGTTGGGGATCCTGAGGGTTAACGGTATGATTCAGGGATTTTATTTAATTTTATTTTAAAATTACGCTTATCCCATTATGAATATTCCTGTAAATGATCTCGTTAGCTCCAGCTTTTTTTCTCCCCTCTGAAACATCCGTAGTTAAGATCCTGGAATGAAATGCTGCACTAATGTAAGGGACTAAATATCCGTGTTTCCATAAGCAGTTAATGTTTGTGCAAGATTTTTACCGCTCTGCAACTTTTTCTATTCAGCTCAGCAATGACAAAAAACAACAACAAACAAACCGAGAGGCGAATAAGAAAAGAAACGAGGCGGTGAGGGGAAAAAATTAATACATAACAATTGCTTCTGTTTAAATTTCTCCACTGTGAAAATCGTTTTATTCAATCGCTGATGTCAAACAAACGAATTAGCATATCAATTCTAACACAAGCTGCGCTTTGAGCCTCTGAAGCGGTTCGCGTACAGGAACAGTCGTGACTAAGAGAGGAGACGATGAAAAAGAAATGGAGGGCGTGGATGATGGACGGGGACGGAGCGTGTTTTTATGGAGCGCGATTGTGACAGAAAAGCGGTTATTTAACTTTGAGTCAGCGTCCGGGATGTGTTGTTACCATTTAAAAGTACTGTGTAAAGGTGTTGAGCATCCCTCATTTGTTTAATTCCAACAAGCTTTGCTATGAGCACCTTTATTAGAGATAAGCCTCGTTTTCCCCTGACAGCTCTCTGGGTCAAACCGGAACCAGCGTCTGATGAAAAACTGTGACAAACTTTCAGAAAGCCTGAAGAATTATTGCTTTAGATCACTTTACAAATGCCAAGAAAGCCTGACTCCTTCGAAGAAAAATCTACAGATCTGAGGCTTGGTGTGCTCCAGGATCACAGGAGGATACCAGCTGTATTTAACTTTGTCCCTTCTCTGCTGCCAAGCTAGAGAGTGACTGAGATCATTTAATAATTGATGATTAGAATAAGAGTGTGTGGTGTCAGCGCCCCATTATAAGACTTTATACATAAAGATCACACAGGTCACCCATGTCATTAATCTTTTCGCACACTCTTGTGTTAGCTGGTGTTTTTTTAGATTAATGTTAAAGGGCAGGGAGCGGGCTATAAATTAGTTTTGTAATTTTTCACAGCAACTCCGGGATCTGGATTTAGGATCTGAGCGAAGAAAGGAGAGGAGAGGGAGACCTGCTGCGAAGAGGCCATGCTGGTCTTCAGGGAGTCCAGCTCTGCCCGGCTTGAGACCAGCTCTCTCTGGAGCTCCTGAAGATGCTCGAGCTGCTCCCGCTCCTGTGCAAGAAAAGCCCAAATTAAACTTCAGACATCTTAAAAACAACAGCCTGTTTGGTCACTTTGCAGCAGAAAAATCCAACTTGACCAAACTCTGCACACCATTTGGAGTGAAACCACCGAGCTGGAAGCACGGGGCCAGCTTTCCGTACACGTTTGGCAGTGATGACCAAACCAGCCTCGTTCTCACCTGTCTGTCCGCCGCCTCCTGAGCGGCCTTCACCTTCTCCTGCATCTCTTTCCTCACCGCCTCCACTTCATCCTGTGCCGCCCGAGCTACCGTCATCTGCCGGGTCACCTCTGCGTTCTGCATACAGACACACAAAGAAACACTTGTAATTTAGACAGCAGATCCTCAGCTTGACAGAAATAAAGGACACGAGGAGGCCACTGCGATCTAAGGATCTCATGAAGTAGAGGGTCTCACCTTTCTCAGCAGGTCTGCGTGGCTCTGAACCAGCTCGGTGTACTTCTCCTTCAGCTTGGTGTAGCGCTGCTCGTTGGCCTGAGCTTTTCCTGGTAAAAGTCGCGCGAACACATACAGAGAGACACACACACAGCAGGTGAAGCAGCTATGTCAGATGACCATGACCAAAAATTCGACTCGTTGACTGAGTAGATAATGTGCCGGTGTAGAATAAACAAAGCCTTACTCTCAATCTCCGTTAGGCTTCTCTGCTCCTTCTCCGTGTCCTCCCTGACCCTCCGCAGGTCGTCCAGTTCGGCCTTCAGGAACTCGCTCTCTCCCACAGCCTGTAGCCTCAGGTGGCTCTGCTCGGCAAGCTCCGCCTCCAGCTCGTTGACTCGCCCCCGCAGAGCCTGGCACAACCGACCGCTCTGGCGACGGACAGGAGAGAGGGGGAAAAGGTCATACGTTTTGTGAGGATGCTGCTCGGATAAAGTTAGGAAAAAAGCTGCTGTTTTTACCTCCAGTCTGAAAGACTCCAGCTCCTCTTTGAGGGCCTGGATCTCCCTCGTCAGCTGCTCGATCAGCCGGTCTCTGTCATTAACATCATAGATAAAAATGAATCTAATCTGATCTTACAAGATTGTTGTTAACATAAGCAAAACTTTAGCTATTTGGGGTACGATGGCACACGTGTGTCCTGGACTGTTAGAAATACTTGGCAATATTTGTCATCTCTGCTGCTCTACATAAAACTGGAGAACAAGATTCACACGGTACCATTCAGGCACCAGAGACATGTTTACGCAGCGCTTGGGCAATTTTATATACAATAAGCGTTTATTCATGTCACTCTGCTCCTGTAATGACACTCACTTGTCATCCTTGCGCATGCCGTTCTGACTGTTGAAGTTGAACGGGTCGATAGCAGCCGAGGTGCCAAACAGGTCGTCGAATTTTGTCTCCACAGGAGCCTGAAAAGGATAAACACACAAATCACATAGCAACCTAAAGTGAAACATGTCACCACTTTTCTTTTTACTTTGATAATTATGATAGCTCATGAAAATCCAGTATCTCTTGTATTTAGAACATTTCCTTTACAGTTTGTGTTTGTACAGTTTGGATTGTAATTTACTCAGAGTGTCTGATGGGCTAGTTCAGTACACGCAAGCACAATCATGGGGAGAACTGCTGACTTGACAGCGGCCCAGATGATCATCACTGACATCCTCAACAAGCAGGCACAGAAAGAGCCTGCAGAGAAGGAGCTGACTGAGGCTGTGGTCAGAGCACCACACGCTCAGACATCTTCAGGAAACCGATCCATTCCTAAAATGAAACCACTTGTCAACCAGAGACAGCACTGAAAATGTTTTACCTGGACTAAGGACATCCGCTGTGGTTCAAAGTATCTTTCCAGATAAAAGTAAATTGTGTATTTCATTTGGAAATCAAGGATCTAGAGTCCAGTGTGAGATTTCTGCAGTCTGGGATGATGTTGAGCGCTGTGTCACCTGCTGCTGTTGGAGGTGTTTGATCCAAAGTCAACACAGCTGTCTACCAAGAGATTTTAGAGCACTTTATGGAGAAGCCGACTTCACACGTGCCCACGGTTTGTCGACCATTTCATTAGTGCACTCGATCGACCTGCCTGAACTGAACCGTACTTGGAGGTATTGTCAAGAGGAAGATGAGAAACACCAGAGCTAAAAATACTGACAAGCTGAAAGCTTCTGTCAAACCCTCAGTAACACTTCAGCAGTGCAACGAGCTGATCACGTCCATGTCATACCAATAATTTGCACCAAACTGTTTAAGGTTGGACTGTGAAACCTTTTTTTTTTTTTTTAATTGATCTTATTAAATATTCCAATAAGCTGAGACACTGGATTTCATGTGCATTTGAAAAACAACATAATTAAAACTATACAAACCAGATGTATACAGAGGAAATGCTTAGATAGACGACACATTTAAATATAAATCTATGCGATGCGGTAGAACAGCTCTATTGGATCCTATACGAGTTCACAGATGTCCCTAATAATTTGGCTGGACAAACACATGGGCCAAATTTAAGAAGACAGCATCCAGAGCTGCTTATCTGGTTACCGGCAGTACGGGGACGTCCGTGTCCACCAGGTCGTCCGTTTCCACTACGTGCTCTGACTCCGGGGACGACGACTCGGCGGGGATCACGACCACGGGGCTGATGTGCTCCGACAGAGCAGATGCACGCAGGAAGTTTGGAGGGTTCTGCGACAATCAGAAAGGCACGAGGTTATTCTTTGTAGAACGTCCTGGTTTCGTCAGGTTCATCACAGTGGAATCTATTTGCCTACATTTTCATGAAAGCGTGACATCACATTTCATTTTCAGTTGTGAAAAACGATGGGATTCAACAATAAAGATAAAAGCTTTGAACTGAAACTTTTACACGTTTAGGTGTGGTTTAAATGCGCGTAAGTCCTCACCTCAGGCAACTGTGGGATTTGAATCAGCCTTTTAAAATACTGCAGGTTACTGGAGCGATAAAACAGACTCTTTAGCCTGAAAGCAAAAAGGGGAGAGATATAACAATGAAAAAGAGGAAACGGGAAAACCTCACTGAGAAAAGCAGACAGAGCAAAAAGGTCTGACACTAAAAATTCATTCAGCACGGCAACAAGAGCTCAGAGAAACTGTGACCAACTCTGTGTGTGTGTGAGACACTGAAAGTGAACTTCATACTTCTTGAACTGTTCCTGGAAGCGATCTCTGTGGCCCTGGAGAGTGTCAGCTGGAAGGCCTGCGTGCACACAAGACAAGTGGCCAGGAATTACTTACAGACAGGTAGATCAGGATACTTTAAAACATGTCTGACTGCATACACACACGGGCGGATTTGATTAAGAATATTTCAGAACTGCAAATTTCCACATCTACCTTTCCAGAGAGTAAGAAAAAGGCTTTTTGAAACTGAGCTGCTGGTTAATTTTTTTTTCCCAGTGAGGCTTTGAAAATTTTCATGAGCCCGAGGGGTTCTGAGGAATCCGTCAATTCAGAGAGGAGAAACGCATCTCTCAATCTTTGAAGATAACCGTCAGAGATTTTAAGTATGCATACATCTGAGGAATATTAAGAGCCAAAGGTAAGGCTAGAAATCCTACAGCTAAACCCAGTGCAGTTCAGGAGACACAGGGCTTCATCAGCTTGTACTTAAGTGGTGCTTACGAGTGAGACTTTGAATACAAGCCCATACTACAGTATTTATTGGTCTGTGATTTTACTGTTGTAGGCAAAATGATGATGTCAAATATTTGAGGTATAGTAATGTTCAAGTGTCGAGCCACCCCACATTTCTTTATACTTTGCTTGGAAAAGGTGCAGTGACTTATTGAAGCGGGCAAACAAAACTGCATTGAGAGTGTGTTTGGGATGATTATCATGCTGAAAATTGAAAGTGATGCCAATCAGACATTTTCCAGGCAGTACTCCATTGTTTCCTGACAGCCGCCCTTCCACTGAGACCATTTCTGATGAAGCTTCAGTGAACAGAAGACGGATCAACTGAAGGTCCAGATGCATCACTCAGGTCCTGTGTCAGGTCTTTTTCCTATTTCTTAAAGATGTGACTTTCAGATGCTGTTTATCTGCTGTAGATAGTTTTTTTTAGTCTTTCCCTTTCTTCTTTTGTCCTGCATCTGTTCAGTTTCCTCAAATTTTTTTAAGGACACATTGCACACCACGCTGAGACATGCCAAGTTTCAGACTAATAGCTTTTTGAGAATTGCCTTGTTGGTGCAAAAATGCTATTTTATGGAAGTTGTTACCAGCAGTCTGTCACAAAAATGTTTACAAAGTGTGTAAAGACATTGGATCTTTGTTAGGTTGTCTGTTACGTGTAGACACAACACTGGTCCATCCACTGATCATTCGACTGCACTTGAATGAGTCATAAGTTAGTGTTAAATGGCTTAAGCACATCTGTGCTTTAGACAGATGTGACGGCAATGACTACTATTTACCTTTAGCAACAAATTACAGAAGCATGAAAAAAAATGGCAGTTTTGTTCATCGCTAGCTGCAGACCTAATGTTGCTGTTGTGTTTGTTGACCAGTTTCGAACATTAAAAACAATTAACATTAAAATAAAAATACAATTATGATTGAAACTGGTCAACAAACACAGTGAGACTAAGTCTTAACCACATCTGATTAAGCCGAGGATTTGCTCTCATAAGCTAAGGTCAGAAAACCATAAACAGCATTTAGGATTAAAAAAAAAAAAAAAAAAAAGTTTCAGAGTAAGGCCCGTGTTTATTTTCCTGCACAATCTCAACTAATAAAAAAATGGAAATAATCAGTTATCACCATGGACGAAATCCTACTTTAGCTAGACATCAATAAATGCAAATCAGCCCAGTCCAACAAGGGATTCCAGTCACTTCAGTGATATTCAAAAACTGCACAATATTTGCATTTAGTAACGACAACACTGAGCACCGCTGCAGTTATTGAGCCTGCAGCCGTGTGAGTGCTCGACCAGCAGGGGTGTGTGACTCACATGAGTGCAGCTTAAACAGCAGCTTGACGGTGTAGTCATACAGGTGGCTGCAGTCAAGGATAACCTGGATGAGGGGGGCCAGACGACACTGACCCGCCGCCGTCACAGAGACCGACCGAGACATGTCTAGAGAGCTGAACACTGTGAGGAGAGAGACGGTCAATAAATGCAGACCCAAAAATCAATGCACACACATACACACATGAGCATTAGTAATTATTGCAAACAGTGGGAGACTCATCGATCATACATGTTTCATGACCCAATCAACTCGTGCTCTTCATTTTACTGCTTCTGCCACAATTAACTAATAAAGTGTCTGAGAGCAGCACACGGCTCACTCTTGCTGCACTTAAAGGTTTTAAGTGACGCAGAGAGAGAGAGCAGCAACCTGAACACTAACAGGATTGTGTGACTCGCTGTCATTACGCCCCCCTCTTTCATTTCCCTGCTGCCCTGCTCACACTATCCCCAAAGTCGGCCGCTGAGAGCCTATGTGTAAAGCTGAGGTGTGGTTTCCTGCTTAGTCACAGCGTGCACACACACACGCATGCACCTAGATGTCTGGCCTCTTCACCCCCAGATGACGTGATGCTTTTTAGAGAACAGACCACATGAGGAAGCTGACGACAGCATAAGAGATTTGGGTGCAACCTCGATTTTTGATTTGTCAAAGCACGACATGTGATCGCCAATGTAACGAAGAGATATGATTTAGGCTTGGGAGCAATATTAGGAGTGAAGTTGGGGACGAGGGTTTGATAACATCACCAGGATGTTGAATGAAAGCCATGATAAATAGATACCAGAATGTAATTTCCTCCTGATCATTCATAAATGGAGGCACACAGCCTTCCTGGCATTTCTTCTGAGCTCCTGGTCACATCCCAGCGCTCTATTTTTAGCTCGACCCACACTTCAAGAGACATTAACCTGGGATGACTCACCCAGACAACAAGGGGGGCTAAAATATAACATGAATCCACAAACAGCCTGGCAGTAAACTGAAACAGAAGAGGTGGAGCTCTGACGTGACATATATATATATATATATATATCATGACATCATCTTTATTTCTGCGCACCATTGTGCAGAGACCTCCGATCCGTCAGACTGCGTATTCCTGTCTGTGAAAGTGTGAACTTGGATGCATTCATCTGTGGGTGTGTGAATGTTAATGCGCACGGTTTCAGATAAGCACAGCTGGCAGCGCAGTCAGACCAGAATAACTTACCACCCAGGAAGAGGTTGAGCTCACACTCCAGGTAGTCAAACATCTCTACAGTCAGCTGGAAGCTACAGGACAGGAGAGAGACACGGAGAGCTCATTTAAATAGAAATGCTAAACTTAAATAAATAAACACTCTGTAAACACATCAGATCTCATGCTGGATGTCTACACCGATATGGACTGGATAATTTGTTAGCAACACAAGGATGCCACATCATTAGATGGAAATGAAAACTATCAACCTGATTTAGAAACACCTTGAAATCAAAGTAAAAAACAAAACAAAAAACATTATGCCACAGGGATTTTACCGAAATGTCATTGTAGAAACTCATAACGATGCTCGTTAGTTTGCTTGTTTGCATGCCTGACAATGTTGAGGCTCATAAAGATGATGGATGGTGTGTCCTGCAGAGGTGTCCTCCCAAATCTGGACCAGGGCATCACTGAGCTCCTGGCCAGTTTCATGTGCAACCTGGTGGCATTGAAACATAACGTCCCCGAGGGTTTCTATTGGATTTAGGTCAGGCAACCATGAGGGGCAGCCAATGGCATCAGTTCTAACATACTCAAGGAAATGCCTGTATACTCTCACCACATGAGGCCGGGCATTGCCGTGTACCAGGAGGAACCCAGGACCCACTGCACCAGCGTAGGGTCTGACAATGGATCCAAGGTTTACTGATACCTAATGGCGGTGTTGTTGTCATGGATACACCTCCTCAGGCTATCACTGGCCCACTAACAACACAGTCATGCTGAATGACGTTACAGGCATCATAATGTTCTCCACGGCTTCTAAAGACCCTTTCATGTCTGTCACATGTGCTCAAAGCGAACCTGCCAATTCTGGTATTCTATGTCAAATTCCAATTGGACTCCACGGTGCTGGCAGTGAGTACAGAACCCTCTGTAAGTCCTGATTGTTTGGTCAGAGACATTCACACCAGTGATCTGCTGGGGGTCATTTTCTAGCTCCGGCAGTGCTCATCAGGATCTTCATCGAACAAAGGAGCAGATACAGATACCGGTCCTGTTGATGAGTTAAGGACTTTCTACGGCTCAGTCAAGTTCTCCTAGAGTAACTTTCTCATGGAATCTCCTCGAAACAGCAAAACCCAAAACAAAACATAAAAGCCCAGAAAGGAATAGTTATGGGCAAACTATCCTAAATGAAGTGTTTGACAGCTCTTTCATGTCTTCCTTTTGCCCGTGTTAATTAGATCCATGTGGCTCGCAAAAACGAATAAAAGACAACTGAAACCTCTCCGCGTCCGTGAGATGGCTCTGACACTGATATACACGCCTCAGATTACAACATCGATGGCAAATCTAACAAATGGGTACAGAGCACTTATAACATTAGATTTCTTTTAACCTACAGACGAGTGTTTTCCTTCTTTTACACATTTCTTTCCATTTCTTCTGATTTTCCACAAACTTTTGCTCTTTTTTTGGGAGAAAATATCAAACAAAAACATGTCTGGTTTATTACTATCAAAGCATTAAAGAAGCAGATACCGATCCAGGACTGTTGGCTTACGTGACCATCTCTTTCCGGATCGGGAGCATATCCAGGCACTTCCTTAGCCACCATTTATTCCTAATATGTCTCCTATTGAACATCAAAATGTTCATCAAAGGCCAGCCACAACCAGTAACCACTGCACAGCTGCAGCCTGCACTCATCCAGGAATGCAGAGCAATCTCTCAACAACAGATCCGGACACTTGTGCAGTCCATGCACAGATGGGAGACTGCTTGCATCATGCTGAGTGGAGGCTATACCTCAAATGAAACATCTTCTGTAAACGTGTTAAAGTGTTAGTATGTGTCAAAGTAAAGAACAAGCCTTTTGGTTATCCCCATGAACAGCCACATATTATCCGTGTGCGACTGTCCGGTAACAACTGAAGGATTTTGCATTTCACACTTTTGCTCCACAAAGCTGAGAAAAAGGCAACGCTGCCAGCACAGCGGTCCTGTCTGCCAAACAAAAACAATACGAGCAGCCGAAGCAGCGACTCGCCACACTCACAAGTTGTTGACGTCGTTCTCTCCCGCCTCGTCGAGCTGTCGGTTTGACATCTGAAGGTTTCCTGGAAAACGAGGGTTCTGAAAGACAAAGCAATGTAAAAGTCCCGATTACGGTTATATACCAGACCAATCTGATGGTTGTAAAAAGCAATGTGCTATTTAAATTAAGATTCATTAATTAGTCTGAGTACTGTGAGTCAAATAAGTTGTACGAGCGGTTGGAGATGAGGGAAGGGAGACCGGACAACAGATACAAATGACAAGGCTTTACTTTGAAACACCCCGTGAGTATTTCACACTATTTTGTACTTTCACCCTACTACTTTTACTCGATTACTCCATTTAAAAACATGTAGTGAAATAGCAATGTAAATCTACGCGTAGTGATCCATTTTTAATAGAAACAACTGATTAGAGCAATTGTTAGTAATAATGAATTAATATGCATACTAGCAGGCATGCATCATATGCATGTTTGTCACTTTCCAGGTGAAAATCCTCAACCTTGGCAAAAAACACCCAGACCTTCTGGGACAGCACCGGCACTGTATTCTGGTCCCTCCTTAACTCTACTCAGATGTCTCATAAAAAGCTACACTACAGATTCTTGGGAGGCCATTAGTGTAAAAGCTGGAATTTTGTCTGAAGCCACCCGCAGAGACCTGCTGGCACTAAAAGGAGAGTCTGAGACAAAGATAATGAGAGACGAGGGAGAGTGGTGATGGGTTTTATAGGTCAGGCCAACTCACTTTGATGTGAAACTCCATTTTGGTGATGAGCAGTTTGAGGTAGATGCTGCACAGCTTCCCGTAGCCTTCACTCAGGTGACCCTGATGTAGAAAGACAGAAGAGGAAGTGAAGAAATCCAAGGAAACAAAGGAGAAACGGTGTCCCCATGTCCTTCCTTCTAAAGGTCACAGGGACACCGTGTAAGGTCACTCTCACAGTGTACGGGTGAATGCAAAAACCCAGTTGACAACATCCTTGTGCCAGGAAAAAGTAGAATATCTCTAGCCTGTGAGTGAGGGTGGTAATGACATAACAGGAAAGAAAGAGGCCACAACCTTTGTCCCACTGACCACGCTTCCTGTATCCTCCTCCCTACTGACATCAGCAAAACTGAGTTAGTGTAATAAGGAATATCTTAGACCTCCACCCCAGTCGCTGTTGCTCAATTAATCACTTAGGAGTGTCTCTTGAGATTTTTGTGGCTAAATGTATTGCAGTTGACACATGTTTACGCTTGCATTTCATCAGAGTCGCCGGCATCAATATAATGAAGAGAAATCTGCTCACTTCTATCAGTGGTTCCCAGCATTTTCCATCCATGCCCCATTCAGATGGACAACACTGCTTCATCAACACTATACTACATATATCTGTATATGTTATTTGGGTGTACATTCAGGATTATTTAGCCTAATGTTTAAGCTGTTATATTCCGTTAACAAGAATTTTAGCTAACAGTTTATTCACACTTTTTTGGCTTCCACTTTCATCTATTTATTTATTTATTTATTTAATCTATTTATTTATATATTTGTTTTATGTATATATTTGTTCAAGTTGGATAACAACTTGAACAGCTCTTGTAACTTCTTAGCTCACTATAACTGTTAGCTAGCTATGACAATTTCCAAATTTTAATGTAATACTTAGCTATTTATGTCATTTTAGCTGTTAACTGTGCCACTGAACCCCCCCCCCCCACACACACACACACACGTCAAAATTGTGAGTTATTCCTGAGTCGAAACTTGGTATGCAACTTGCTAACCTGCTAACATAAAAATGTGAGTTGCTGAAGGTAAAATAGTTTTTCTTTACTGATGGAAACAGGCTTTAATCATTTATCCATTATGTTTAGCTGACTATTTCATTTGTTTATTTATACAATTAGGTAATCATTTAAATTGCTTGTTAAAACTTCTGTTTTTTTTCTAAAAACATTTCTTTAGCTCTCTCAGTTATTGAGCCATACCATTAGCTAGCTAAATAAATTTCCAACTTTCAGTCTAGTTAAGTTTAGTTACCTACTTCAACTATTAACCAATTAGGTTGCGCTAACAATGTAATATATGCATACAGTTAATAATTTTTACTGCCCATCTAAACCTTTATGTTTATTATCTACATAATTTAACTCATGAGGCATATAGTTAGCTAGCTATGACAATTTACAACTTTTAATGTAATACTTAGCTATTTATATCATTTCAGGTGTTAACTGTGTAAGTTTGTTTCTGCCACTGAATAATAATTTAACTGTTGAGGCACACAGTTAGCTAGCTATGACAATTTTCCACTTTTAATTCTTTACTTATCAACTTATCTTAATAAAATAATCTCTGCATTTATAATGTCAGGAAACAATTTTCATCCATGCTTTTCTAACCAGTCAGATATTTCTTGTCCATTTTAATCACTTGTGTTTTCTTTCGGTTGTTATTGGTTAACTAAAGGCACAGTAACACTAACAGTGGTGCTCAAACCTATTCAGGTCAACTAAATTATTTATTCTTTTAATGCATCTCTGGCTTCCTACAAGATACCTGGAGAGGGAAGTCAGTGGGGTAGATAAATGCAAATATTATCAAATGACATTATTTTGAAAATCTTTTGAAACAACTTGAGACTCCAGTATTGTTTTTTAACTACACCACCAAGACTAAACGCATGTCAGCACAAATCCCCCAAACCAGAACGACACCAGCCTCGGTGACATTACTGTTTCATGAGGGTGGTAGATGATGCAACATGAGCTCATGTGGCTTTTGTCCATTATGTCTGTCACTACACCCTGGCAGCAGGCTACCAACAAATGATGATGAATATAATCTGCTATGATCACCACAGCAAAGAGGACAGTTGGCAGCCGTACTCTGATAATGAACAAAATCCAAGTAAATCAGCAAAAACTGCACCTGTATATGTTAAACTCCTAGAAAGATCATTTTAATGAGTCAACACCCACCTGGACAGCCTGTTAATGCCTTTTTAATGCGTACCTTCACCTGGCCTGAGGTTCGCTACACAAGTTTATTCCATGTGAACTTAATCTGGTGCTTAATCTGACATCTTGTAAAAATAGCCTGAGCACTATATGTCTAATAACTCTGCCGCCTGTTTATTTACTGCTGCGTTATTGTTTCTGTGGCTTTCTTGGTCTCTCAACATGCTTTTAAAAAGAAAATAATCTACTCTGAAAGCACTTTAAGCTCTGCTGTAATTCAGGAAGTAAAGCGAAAAAGCTACTGCCTCCGTAAATTAATTGACAGAATTTGTTTTGTTCATTTACCGAGCGCCTCTACAGTACTATGCACTTCTGCACACACAACTGCGATGCCAGAATAAAGGGCACAATAATACACAATGTTTCGTGTCTTCACATAACAAATGCAGTGGTCCCACAAGCCACTGCCAAGCTGCACGATAATGCCAAGCTGTCAGAAAACCATGCAATCACAGAATGATTTATAACATTAATTACTGTAACTAGAATTTAATGACACTTAAAGGCAATAACAATAAGGCATCCTTCTGACTGAAGTTTGGTCCCTTTACAGCATCCTGCCAAGCGATTGGATTTATCCTTAACCATCAGGAACCCTCACGTTAACTTTTATCCAGTGGAAAAAAGTTGGCGCTCATCCTCCAGCTTCACTGTGTTTATGTTATGCTAACATAGCTGTGTCGCTAGCGCTCAAGTAGCACATCATTATATACCAGCTAGCCCAACTTCAGTAACCCTACAAACATCACTGCTGTTTAGTTTTCTGTCTTCATTTATGTTGGAAGTGATAGCAGAGCTGTACGTTTTAATTTGTTCAGACATCTCTCAGTCAGAACATGCAATATCATGTTTAGGTGGAAACTAGCGAGCTAACTTCCTGCTAACTTCTAAATCTGTTAAATTTAATAAATTCTGTTTTCATGGATGCCTGGATGTTAAACTTAATTGTTACACCTTGTAAAGCAGCAACGCTGATCATTTTATTAAAGATGAAATAATTTAGACAGTTTTTGACTCTCAGTGATGCTGGAGTTCGTTTGACTTTGGGGCCTAAAGGGGACGGAGTTTTGGACCCAGATTCCTCCACAAGGCTCCTGACTACGGCAGCCGTTCTAAAACATTTTTTGTCAGATTTTTCTAATGCCGTGTATCACATAAAATCGTATCGAGGTCAGGAAGCACAGCCAGAATTCATACATAAGAAACTAGATTATAAGGCGCACTGTCAATTTTTGAGAAAATTAAAAGATTTTAAGTGTGCCCTGTAGTGTGGAAAATGCAGTAAATGAGACTTATGACTGTGTGAGATGACATAATCCTTACCCACATCCTGCTCATATCAGTTAAATCAGCCTTGTTCCTCATGGAGTCCTTTATCACCTGAAGAATCAACAATGGAAACAAAGAGAGGGGAAACATCCTTAACATTGAGTATCAGAACACAGTTACAATAAGAGGGAGACAAAGTTTTCGTGTTTACGTACGTTCGGATGCCCGTCCCGCAGCAGCTTGTGGAAGACATGGCAGAACTTCCAGCAGAGCACGGCGTTGCTGGAGAGAGGAAGCCGGTTGACTGCCGCCCAGAAGGTGTGGGCACCTTTCTCATGATGGGTCCCCAAGATGCAGGGTGAGAGCGGCAGTCAAGGATCACAGGCTTACAGTGTTTGTGTAGCCTGGCGGAGCCTAAGTATTTACCAATCTCAATACAGAAAACTCTTATTTTAACATTTGTTGCATCTCCTTTGTGTGTGTATTTTTTTTGATGATCTCTTTTGTTTGAGGCCTTTGCTTAGCTCCGTCTCTGTGCAGGATGTTAGATGTTAGCAGTTTGGTGCTTTTTAGTCTATCTGATAAAACAGAAATATGTCCGTCTAGCCTTCCGTTTGGTTTTACACATGACTAAATTAGCTGTGCAGCAGGGCCATGTGCAGACGACGGGGTTACACAAAATTAGCTGTTTTGCACCAACACAGCCCTCCAGCTACGGAAGGATGATTTTGTACACACAACAAAGTCAAAACAAATGCTCTTCCTCTCCTCAAACACAAACACACACACACACACACACACACACACACACACACACACACACACACACACACACACACACACACACACACACACTATGTTAGGATATTCCTGGCATGCTTCTCTTTGACAGCGACCTCCTGTGTGTTGATGGCCTTGTTGATGCTGACAGCCTGTGAAGAGGAGAAAAGAAAGGGCAGAAGAGAAGAGGGGAGAGAAGCAGAGGAAATAAATCAGCCCACAGCTTTTTTACTCACAGCAAAAAAAAAAAACAAGTCAAGTTTTTCATTTTAAAACTTGACATCCTTCCACCTTTCAGAAAGTTGCCTTTTCCCTTTTCTAACCACCTGGGGAATGAGAGGCAGCCCAGGTTTTTTTATAACGCGCTGATTGACCCATTTTCTGCAGAGTTGGTATTCAAGGCAGCAGCTGAGAGGCCTCCTCTCTGCTGCTGAGGAGGATCTACAGCCTCGCAGCCTGAAAGAGACGCGTGTGCTGCCAAATCTCAGCATGGAGTGCAGTCGGCAAGTTAAATTACAGACATGTGACGGAGCATGTAAGAAGGGCTGAAACGACGCAGGTGCTTTTTTTTTTTTTTTTTAATTCTCCTGCGTGTTTGTGTTAATTCACAGGATTAGATGTCATCATATATACGAACAAAGCAGGAAACAGTTGCAACATCTGCAGAGGATAGAGGCCGGACAGAAAACCACCACGGACTACTCTTCAGCAAACATAGTTAACATTAAGACTGTAACCAGACAGATTTAATGAGACGGCACCAGCAACCAGACACGTGCGGATAAGCAGGGGAGCATCTGTCTGTGCTGTGACATCTACTGAGGAATGTTGGCCAGACTGAACCTGAAGCTCCTCCAACTTCAGCTCAAATTTTAAGAATCATCAGAGATGAATTACAGAACCACCAGAACACACTGGAATGACTTTTCACTTATGCTCTAACCCAGTGTGACACCGTCACAAGGCTGAAAATGCTGCCACCGGTAGCTTGGATGGTGTTAGTTTGGCAGTTTTTGTGGGGATTTCTGGTTGTGCTATGGCACGCTATTAGTTTTCAGGAGGTACTATGGACACTCCCTCTCATTCTTAAACTACCCTTTAGATAAAAGCTCATGGTTCAGGCCATCATTTAGATATGCTGCTGTGCGCCCCCCCCCATTTTCCATACATTTCTTTGCTACAGCCAATTACTTTTTGTTCTCGCTCTCTCGCTGTGGCCTACCTTTGTGCAGGCTCTACATGTTTCAGGTCTGCACTTCCTGGCCCACCAAAGTGGCGAGTATACCTTCTTAGCTGAGGCAGAAGCCACCAATCCCGAGTGTGGCTTAGTTTGGGGTTTCGTTTCAGTTGAAAGGGAGTCGTTTCTCTCAACTGTAACTTTCTATACAGGATATTTTTGGGTTTCTTTCTCTGTAACATAGGAAGGTGAAAATGAGGCATACTAAACATGCTCTAAGATAACTTATATTACGAACTACTACAAAATGAATAAAGTGCTATTCAAAGAAAAGCATTAAAAACACAACCACTATTTAATAAAACAAAGCCTGGGTGTCCAGCAATGCTTGCAGATTGTGAGGCTGGACTTTGCACAGCATAGCTTAAAAGCTAATGGTACCATGCTAACATGCAAATAATAAATAAGATGAAAAATTCCTCATTTATCCCATATTTGTAAAATTATTTTGTTACAGCCATCAACCGTAATAACATCAACAGCAGTAGTAGTAACTCCTCACACACAATCAGGGGCTCACCAACCAAACCTCATCTATATCAGGTATTGTGACCTCATTGTGTTGCCTAACAACAGCCTACCAATGGGCTAGAATGGCCCACTTGTCGCATTTCCGCACCTGCATCCTTTTAATTTCAACACAATACACATTTGATTTACAGGCACCAAAGTTAAATCAGCCGTTTTATTATATTATAAAGTCATCACATGTCTTAGCAACCACCTAACAACAGACTAAAACCAAATAATGGTAAACAACCTGGTTCTTACTTGACCGCGCAAAGTGCTTTATACAACATGCCTCATTGACCCATCCATATGCGCACTTAACAACACATCGGAGAGCAACTTTGGGGTTCAGTACCTTGCTCAAGGACACTTTGGCATGCACTCTGGAGCAGCCGGGGATAGAAAGACCAAACTTCTCAGTAGTCAATCTAATTTGCATTAGACCTTCTTTACCTCCTGAGCTACAGCCACGCCAAATAAGTGCAGTAGCTTGAGTAATAGTAATAAAAAATTAAATAAACAGGGATAATAATTGATCTCTGTGCCAGACAGATATATTGCGTTATACAGACTGAAAGCACGAGGTATAAAACATTTCCTACATCCAGCCTCGTTTGTTTTCATCGTTTTAGTTTTATTTATTAGCAGGAAAACACTTGCTCATTGAAAATGAAGTTTACAGTTTGAGTCTGAGTGGAAAGCAATTCGTTTTGTAGGCGCCTGGTCAGAAACCAGAATGTTGAAATGATCCAGAAATGAAAAACAGGAACTGAAATGATCACCCAGCGATGGCGCCAGAAGAAAAGCTAAAACAGAGTTTATAGCACCAATGATTAAAGCGATGGGGCAGAATTAGACATCTCATTCTTTCATATCCTCTATGCTAAATTTCCCAATTTCCCACAATGCAATATGACCTCAACGTTACACACTGGCTAATTTTGTCATCATTCGACTGCCTGACGCATCAGCTGAGGTCTAACCGGTTTTGTCCAATCAAGTTCACTATCAAAATATCTTCACGTATTTGGTGGCGCCTTCTGCGATGTGGAAACTGGCCAGTGAAGTTCCTCTTTGACTCAGCCTGTGGAGATCACCGATATGCGGACATTTTATGATAAACCATTTAACACCTGCTGAGAAATTTCCGTACACATTTTACTTATGATGAGAAAAACAAATAAACATCAGAGATCGCTGCATTTATTTGGATTCATCCTCTGAGGAATATCTGAACGGTCCAATAGGTCGTTTATTAATCAGAAGGTCAGTGGTTTGATCCCTGGCTTCCCTTCGTCTGCATGTAGAAGTACCCTTGGGGAAGATACTCATTTGTCCCCTGGAGTAGTAAGAAAGTACCTTGAGGGCTCAAACTGTGTAGGAAAGATATATTTGTGGCCCATTTACATTTGGACTGACAGAAATTTGCATCCATAGATACGTGCATGAAAAGTTTAAAAGCCTTCTAGCTGTTGTGTGAAAGTTTTCACGATGCTTTTAGGTTATGTCAGCTGGCAGCCGACCAGGAAAAACCTGCAAGTACAAATAAATATAAATCTTCTAGAACCCACATCGCTTCAGAGTTTTTCAGATAGTTTCTGTGAAGGCGAGGTGACGTGAAGCAGCATCTGGCTGACATTAAACACGAGGGGAAAACAAAACCGGGAAAAGTTCTACATCCAAACAGCTGACTCAAACGGAGCCCGAAATGCCGGTCTTCCGCACACACGACCAAACAGGGCAGCGTATCCTGCCGCTATCATTTGCAGGGTATCTCCAGCAGAGAGCGAGGAGAGCGAGGGGGATGGGGTCAGCAGAGGACGGGAGGCCTGTTTCATAATCTCACTTCCCACAGATGTTCGGAGTGCGCTCCTCCTCTTCCAGTATGTGAGCCGCCGGGACTGGAAGTTTACTGCGAGGAATAGGAAGAGGAGGAGGAGGAGGAGTGGGGTAGAAGGAGGTTGGAATGGGGAAGGGAAAGGAGAGATGAAAGGAGGAATGATCTGGGAGCAGGGATTTCTGTCAGTCTCTTTAGGAAAATTTTAAGATCTTCTCTGTGTCGAGCTGACCTCGGTGAATGAAAGGCTCCATATCTTCTTAGTCTGTCTCTGTGTGATCTTGCAGATACACCACATGTTGATGTTCGAGTTATCTTCTATTGCACAATGTTCTGACAGCATCCTGTGACTGAGCTTGACAGATAACTAGACTATAAATATTCCAGGTTTATAGCGACTTTTATTTAGCTTTGGAAAGACAACCTGGGTGTGTGCACCTCGATCTACTTCAGATTTCCACAACGCTACCTGGTGTCGCAGACTGCTGAGAAAAAAAATGCCCGAGAGAGCCCATCTAGAAAATATTTTCTTTATAGCCACAATCCTGAAACAGATGACGTTTGGATCGGAGAAGAAGAATGTGGGTCTGGCTTGTCAAAACAACGGCAGACAATAGACCGCCACCTCCACACGCACCATCACTCTGAGTGACATAGCAGCAGCGAAAGCAAGCAAGCAAGCAGGCAGGCAGGCAGGCAGGCAAACACAAGTTTACTGTTGAGAAAAATCTAATTTATGAGTTTGGTTCAGTCACAGGAGTGATTCAGTGATCATGAGAAGACGAGGAGGAATTCAGGAGCTGGTTGCTGTTTGCACAGCATCCGCCCCTCCGCGCTCAGGTCGTAGTCCTGTCGATGGTGAACAGCCGGCGCTATGAATCATAAAGGTGAGAAGAGACAGACGTGGATAACAGAAAGTGCGCTTATACTTTGGTGCAGTATGGGTGGGGACTCTTTATTAAAAGGAAAAGCCGTAAAACTTACAGCAAGAAAAGTTCAAAATCTATCCACTCTAAAGTTGTCCAGTGGGCCGGGTAGGAGCCTTTACTGAGCAGATTTAGGACCCAGGGCCTTATGTTTGACACCCCTAGCGTGACCTGGGGAGAGCAGGCACGTGGCGGGACACATGACGGCCACCGGCTAGTTGTTTCTATGTAGGCACAAAGTATAACAACCTGACGCCGCACGCTTTCTTGTTTTTTTAAAAGGTTAAAGGTCGGCGCCGGATGTTTGCATCCTGACACGCACCGCTGGATATGATCTAGAAAAGCGTACGCGTGAAAACAGCCTGTGTCTGCTGATAGAGTCCACGAAAGGAAGGCCAGTGAGTTATGATCAGTCATGTGCTTTAAAAAAAAAAGTTAGACTTCCTGTTTACAAATAAACCAGAAGGTCTGACGACAGGATCTGGAAATTTATGGGAACTTTATGATTACTGGAATACTTTTCTTTGTTTTGTTTTTTGTTAAACAACCCTGAAGATTCTGTTCATGCACAAAAGGAAGAAAGAAAAAAAAAAGACCCCATGCAGCTGCGAAACCATGATTTCTTGCACCACCTGAGGCTGA